CAGGCAACGCTCCATCCGCTGGCTGGGCCTTCAAATGTCCATCTCAAACTGTGACTCCTCACCTGGGGAGAGAAGGGACAGAGGCCAGGTGAACAACGGGCAGGTGGTCTGGCTGATGTGGCGCGGGCCAGGGAAAGACACTGCGTCTTCATCCCGTTCCCTACGCGGGGAGCGGAGCCCAGGTTTACGCTGCCGAGGAGAACGGACGGAGCGCAGGGCTAGACTAGGAATTCCTGGAATTGCAAGCCAGAAGGTTCCCCGTCCAGCTGTGCTCTCTTTCTCAATACCAAAACGAGGAGCAGAGATCAGCTTTCCCCAGAGGGGAGGTGACGGTCCTGGATTTTCTGCAATTTTTATCATTTTTTTATAAAGATGGTTACTAGTGATTTTACAGAAAAGCAACCTCACTGAAAAATTTTCCTTAAACGTAAAACTTTTCTGAGCATCTGTCCCAGTTTTTGGTTTAGAAAACGGCACACCTAACCTACAGGTTTACACCCAATAGCCCACGGGGTTAGCCCAACTCCGCAGCGAAGCAGCTGTATGGATAATTCAGCCTGCACCACCCTCGCCCTCCTCTTTGCACAGAGATTTCCATGCAATCATGCTGCAGCAGATCTTCTTCTTAAGGGAACAGCCTCTATTCACGGTCTCCCAGGCAGGGCTGCTCCAAGGTTCTACATAACAAGATGCTGGCTCTGGTGCACGACGACAGGGAAAACTGGCCATTTCTCCTGGTTGTATTTGCATAAATATGTGGCTCCAAGAGCAGGAGGGTTGGCTTCTTATATCCAGTTAAGCTATGTCCCGCCCCCTCCCCTCCCCATCATAACGGTGTGCAGCTACTCAGCCATTATCTTGGGTTAAGAGTGGCCGATCCCGGGCCCCACTGGGCTGACCTTGCATTTGTTATGGGTCAGAGCAGCTCTGGAAATGGGGAGGGCAAGGTATGCAATGGGGGGGAGGGTGCCTAACAGCCTTTAGGCTGTGGTGACTCAACAATTTTGGGCGTTGACTAGCTCCACCCTCAACGGTCCGGTCCGTGCTGGGTTCAGGCAGAGAGTAGAGGAGGGAGGCACTGCGCAGCGACCACGTGGTTCTATCACGTAGACAGACGGCAGGTAACCACGCTGACCGGTAACCACGCTGACCGTGGCTTCTGTCATGCTGCCCTCATACTGACACTCACCTCCCCCCTGCCACATTGCCCTCTGGGTCTGAGAGGCAAGTTGCTATGGCTTTAATGTGTCCCCCAGATTTCATGTGTTAGACAGCTAACCCCCAAATTCACAGGTTGACTGGAGGTGGGGCCTTTGGGGGGATAATGAGGATTAGATAAGGCCACTAAAGAGGGGCCCCCACAAGGGGATCGGTGGCTTTAGAAGAAGAGAAAGAGAGGCCGGGCGAGGTGGCTCACGCCTGTAATCCTAGCACTCTGGAAGGCTGAGGAGGGAGGATTGCTTGAGGTCAACAGTTCGAGACCAGCCTGATTAAGAGCGAGACCCCGTCTCTACTAAAAATAGAAAGAAATTAATTGGCTAACTAAAATTATATATAGAAAAAGTCAGCCGGGCATGGTGGTGTATGCCTGTAGTCCCAGCCAATTGGGAGGCTAAGCAGGAGGATTACGTGAGCCCAGGAGTTTGAGGTTGCTGTGAGCTAGGCTGACGCCACAGCACTCACTCTAGCCTGGGCAATAGAGTAAGACTCTGTCTCAAGAAAAAAGAAAGTAGATGACTTTAATTTTCAGGCTCAAGGAGGGGACTTGACCTCGAGTCTCACCCATATCTGACTCAGATGTGACTCTGGACTTTGAACTCGAGTGGGCGCTGGAATGAGTTAAGACTTAGGGGTCATGGACATGGAAGGAATGTATCTGTGTGTAAGAAGGACATGAGTTTTGGGGGGTCCGGGTGGAATGCTATGGTTTGACTGTTTCTCCTCTTTGAAATTTATGTTGAAATGTAATCCCCAATGTATTACGAGGTGTGGCCTTTAAGAGGTGACTGGGTCATGACCGCTCTGCCCTCACGAATGGATCGATCCATTCGTGGACTAATGGGTTATCACAGACTGTTACAAAAAGCCAGGACGGTTCTCTCAGGTGTGACCCTGTCACTCTGTGACGCCTTCTGCCACGTGATGACGCAGCACGAGGTCATCACTGGAATCCAAGCAGATGCAGGCACCAGGCTCCTGGGCCCCCCAGCCTCGAGAACTGTAAGAAATAAACTGCTTTTCTTTATAAATTACCCAGTCTCAGGTAGTCAATTAAGCAACAGTAAACAGACTGATTGATCCTAGCACTCTGGGAGGCCGAGGCAGGAGGATCGCTCATCGTCAGGAGTTCAAAACCAGCCTGAGCAAGAGCGAGACCCCGTCTCTACTATGAATAGAAAGAAATTAATTGGCCAACTAATATATATAAAGAAAATCTCATTTTTTTATTATTGAGCAAGAGTCTCACTCATCTGTTGCCACCCCACACCACACAGAGCTAAGTGGAGTCGCCGTCGAGCGCTCACGCCCTACAAAGCCTCACAGCAACCTCAAACTCCTTCAGGGCTCACAGCAATCCTCCTGCCTCAGCCTCCCGAGTAGCTGGGACTACAGGCATGCACCACCCATGCCCGGCTAATTTTTTCTCTATATATTTTGTTGGTCAATTACTTTCTTTCTATTTATAGTAGAGACGGGTCTCGCTCTTGCTCAGGCTGGTTTCGAACTCCTGACCTGGAGCAATCTCGCCGCCCTCGGCTCCCCCAGAGTGCGGATGACAGGCATGAGCCACCACGCCCGGC